ACATACATACATATATATATATATATATATATATATATATATATATATATATATATGTGTATATATATGTTATCATCACGGGCGGCGTAGCAAGGTCAGGGGAGGAGATAAATGCTTTTCTGTTTTCCACGCAGGTTTGGGACGCGCGGAGCGAGGCCCCAGTAGCGGGAACTTTTCGCGCAACAGCGCCGGGAGCGGAAATATTAACAGCGAGGCCGAAAAGTGCCACTTCTGAGCCCAAAAGTACCTGTAGCTGCGGGTGGCACGGCCGAGCCGGCAGGCAGGCACCCCCCACGCGAGTCTCTCTGTCTGGAGCGGGACTCAGTCCGCCCCGCTTAGCTTGGCTGGAATTTGCTGTCCCCCTAAAAAAACCCGCTTGGGGGTGAGGGTGCCCAGTCCAGAGGCAGGGCAGGCCCCGCGCAGCTGTGCGCTCAGATACCGCGCTGAGAGGGGTCTCGTCCCTCTCCCGCCTCTGTGAAGGGGTGGGAGGGAAAAGCGCTGCACTCGCCTTGCGCGGCAGGGCACGCACCCGGCTCCGCGGGGCACTCCGGGAGAGGCACAAAGAGAAAAGGGGGACGCGGGAAATCGGGACTAATAAAAAAAACCAAAACCCCCAAAAAACCCAAAAACACACACACACACAAAAGAAAAAAAAAACACCACCAAAACCAACAAAACAGAGCATCGCTGAAGGCTGCGCAAACTTTAGTCCGGCAACGCGCAACGTCCGCGGCGCTCCGCGGGCGGCCCCGGAGCCCCCGCGTTCCCCACCCCCGCGTCACTCTCCCGAGCCCCCAAGAGATGGCAGTCGAAGACGGCTTTCCTCCTCCTCCTCCTCCTCCTCCTCCTCCTGCTGTTGCTCCTCGGCGGCAGGCAGCGGCAGGAGAGCGGGGCTGAGAGCCGCACCCCAGCGGCCGCTCCCGCACTCGGCCCCCGCGCAGCCCCGCGCAGCCCCCGGGGCCGGCGTGAGGAACGGAGGCGCAGCCGGGCGGCCCTGCCCGGGCCCCTCCAGGCCCCCCCGCTGCCGTGAAAGGAGGGTAGCTAGGAAACAGCGAGCGGCCCGAAAAGGCGGAATTTCCAACGTGTAAAATGTTCTTAACGGAGCCATTGAGAGAGTGCAATAAGGCGTGAGGGGGAACTAATCTCCCCATTTAAATGTTTGTGGCAATTTTATCTAAATGAATTTTAATGCTAAACGAGGGATAATTCCCTATTTGTAACCCGTTTACTTCTCTTTCCTGTGCCTCTGAAGCTGTCTAACATCATGCGATGAACAATAACAATAAAAATACTGTCAAGGCATATTCTTCATTTTGAATGTGTTATAATTACAGCTGACTAAATGTCTTGGGATGTAATCGTGGGTTTAATTTGAAATGCGCCCTCCTCTAAAAAAAAAAGGTCCCATGGCGGAAGGTCTGTGCCCCACTTCGCTGCGGCTGCGAAGAGAACGGACGCGTGTGCCCTCGCCTGTGAGAGGGCGGTTTGTTTTTGTCTTTCAAGAAACCTTAAAAAACCTCAAAAAACCCAAACACATAAAAACAAAACAAACAAAACGAAACAAAACAAAACCCTAAAAAAAAAAAAAAAAAAAAGGCAAAAAAGCAAGCCCCGTTCATTCACGTTTTGGTAGAAAAGTGTCATTACTCCGGCCTCACAAAGAAGGAGCCGGGATGTTCAGCCTCCTTGGCGGTACAGCGGCCCTTTAAAAAAACGGGGGAAAAGGAGGAGAAAAAAAACAAAAAACCAAACAAACAAAAAAAACAACCCAAAAAACAACCTCAGAGTTAAAAAAATAAAAAAGAAAAAAAAGAGGGGGAGGAAGTCCCAGCCGGGGAGGAGAGGACCCCCTTCGGTGGCTCGCCTCATTCAGAAAGGTCTGCACTGCCTGCCTGCAGCTCTGCCTTGCCTGCACCCCCGCCTGCCCCTGCTCAGCCGGGGGTACCCCGGGGGACACGCAGAGCAGGGGTCCCCCGGGAGCCTTCCCTGCAACACGCCTGGGACACATCCCACAGGGGTGCCGGCTGCCTTGGGAGAGGCTGCGAGGAGGGGGGGGTTGTTGCATTATATCGCCTTAATTAAGATATTTGTGTCATTTTCCTAGTCCCGAGAATCGCTATATTTTTTCTTCTACAGCTGCGAATTGACTTAAAGCAAACGAGGTCTCCCAGCCCGCACAGGCTGGCTGGGCTCTTTCACTGGCTGGCTGTGGTGCAGAAAGCACAAATGTGCGAGGAAATTGGTTAATGAGGGTCTGCACTGGCCTTGCTCGAAGAGGTCCAGCAATACCTCCTCCCCTTACAGATATGCACTGCCCAGGCAATGCTTGCCAAATTTTAGTTTCCTCCTTCCTTAGTATGCTCAATTCCAGTAAGAAACTCAATAATTTGAACTGTGAATAATTTGGGAGGGAGGGGCGGTAACACTATTTACAAATTTCTGTCCAATAATGCCCTACAATATTATATTTATTAACAGGCAATAATTCCCATCCTGACAATTTACAGTGCAAGTTCCAAGAAAGCTTCTTTATGCAGCATAGCATTACTTTTACATTCTTTAAATACGAAGCTGATATTTAAATAGCAAATGATAGGTAACACCTCCAGAGCGAGCTGAATTTTGTATCTGCTCAGTTCAGTCTGGGATAGTATGGCTACAAATACGGCATGGGGACAGGAAACAAATTTTGCAAGCAGTGGAGTCACCATGACAAAAAATAATTTGTTTTTATTTTAGATTCAGATTTCATTACTGCACTCAAACTACTACAACTGGGCTTTGAGTTATTATACAATCCAAACTGTTTCAATCAGAAACTCTAAGACTCAGTGTGCAATGATTATTATTAATAATAATTAGCTCCTTGGTTTCTTGATAGAAAAAGGCTATCAACAAGCATTTGTTTAACCACAACAAAAGTATAATTAGCTTATCCCACTTAGTAAATCTGTATGCATGCCAACTCATACCAAACTGCTACTTTTACAAAAAATTGCAATAATACAGATCATTTTTCCAGTCCTTTTTGCACAAAATTTATTTACAATGTATACATAAATGCTCCATGATGGGACTATGGAAAAAAAATGCACACATGACTGATGTCTTGCCCAGAAAGAAAGTCAACATATTAAAAATAAATCTTCAGTCCATGTTTTGAGCTGCATAAAACAGGAAGTGATGTACAAGGCGGTGGTTGCTGCATGGGGACAAGGATGTTCTGATGTGACAATTAGGCTTCAAATACACTGCCTTTCCGTTTCCATGCTTCCTCCTACCAGTCTCCTTAAGACACTGCCTGCAACAGCTGATTAATCATTGTTGATGACTTCAGTTTTTCCCATCCTTCCCGATTTACATCTGTTCAGGCCAATTCAAATATGGTGAGTAAATGAATTAGACATGCAAATTCACGCTCCAGGCTAGAAAGAGAGAGAGGGAGAGAGACAGGGAGAGAAAGGGAAGAAAGACGGACAGAGGAGGAGAGAGGGGGGAGAGAGAGAGAGAGAGAGTGTGCATGGCTGAAATCCTAGGATAGAAGAAAGATTCTTCTGCCTGACATAGTTATTTTAATGCTCTAAAAATCCTGCAAATAAGCCCTTTCTGTCATTTGCAGGATAAGTGTAAGGCTTCTTTTTTAATGTAAGGAGGCTTCTGGAGGAAGTGAAGAGCTATGGAAACAACACACATAGTGTGGAAAAATTTCACATTTTTTTTAAAAAATCTATAAGAAACAACGTAATATGGATAACAGTATAATAGCATTTTACAATATTTCACTCTTTGTTTTCTTAATGTCTTATATAGGTATTTAGCATGTCCCCAGAAGTTGACTTCAGTTGGTGTTTTCCTGCTTTTCAGGGTCCCTGTGAAGAATTGGAACGTCCCTTGGTCCAAAGTTGATGCCAAGAACTCCATAGTCATTGCAGAAAGACAATGTTTGAAATCTACCATCGCTGCAGACAACGTGTATTTCCCTTAAGCTACTGAGCATGAATGTCCATCACTTGTCCGCTCACTGCTGGCTCACCGGTATGAAGCATTGTGGGACTTGACGCTGACATGGGCATTCCAGGGTGGGGTGGTCCTCCATGCATCATCATCGCTGGGTGGTGAGGGTGTCCAGGAATGTAGGTATGCATGGGGGGGCCATGACGCAGCTGAGCAGGATGGGGGGGCATCTGGGGCGGCGTATAGCTTGGCTGTCCCATATTCATACCCATTGGACTACCCCGAGACACATAATCCCCTGGCATACTTTGCAGCCCTGCAAAGGGAGAGAAAGAGGTGGCGGTGAGTGCTGGGGACTGGCTGCCCGCTTCGGGCTGTGAAGCTGCTCCGCTCGGGCATGGGGAGGCCGGGCTCCAGCCCAAGGTGGGACGTGGAGTTGCGGGTGCACGAGTGCCGTCGCCTCTGTGGAACTGGGAGTCCGCGTATGGACTCACAGCGATGGCAACAGGAATGGCCCCCAGGTCAAAAAAAACAAACCCCAAGAACATCCTTCCCTTCCATGTACGGAGTTTTTGGAAATGAAACAGCTTTCTGCTTTTATGGTTAGGAATGTATGCAATGGAGATGTTCCTGATCTGGAAGCATGCCAGAGGCAGAGCCAGCCTGAAGATGGCTAACATCACATGGAGGGCTCTCAGGTGGGCTCCATTCCCCATGGCCTTACTCCAGCCACCTGCCTTCCCCTTCCCACTTGTAAAAGCACGCTGGGAATACAAGGCAGAGAATCTGTGGCAGCTAACGAGGGACTTGGGAGGAGCGATGGGTTAAATAGGTGTCAAGGTTTATCAACAGCTATTTATTTAGCTCTTGAGCCTGATCTCTTGGAATCTGTCCCAAATATTTGTACCATTCAAAGAGATGCAATCCAGCAAGCACATACATCATGAACAAAGGCCTCATATGAAGACGAAATTGATAGGATTACTAAGTATGATTGCTAAATCAAACTCATATTTTTAGACATTAAAATATATATACATAATCAATAATCGTTACCAATTATTTCTTTCCCCCCCCAGGTCACATCTGGCTGCAAAAAAATCAGACACGCAACTCAGTCAAACCTTTCAGTGGGTTTGGGAGAACAATAAGAAAAAAATTGGACCTAAAACAATAAAACCTCCTGCTTTCTGTGGGCCTCTGCCTTCTGCTTGGATTGCTGTAGCTGATGGGAACTGACAGATGTATTGTTTCAGAGAGCTATAAGCTCCATAATCATCAAGGGTGAAAGGCATACGCTATTGCTAAGTAGGTTCAATTGGCTTTAGTTCTAAGTAAGAGCGCGCTGTGAATGCGCCGAACACCTTGGAATCAGGTCTCAAGGCTCTAGCAATGAATAGCTGCTTAATCTAGCCTAAAGGAACAGTTTTGAACTAATGAAAATTGCTTATAAAATATACTGTACTCACAGCTCTTTAATCAAAAAAGATGATAATATTTTTTGTAATAACCTATTAATTTAATTGGTCACGAAGCATAAAATACATCATTTAAATTTAATTGACCCAGAAACTAAGAAACAATATTTAAATTAACTAAGCTAGAAATTTTCATGATGAGGTAATAAGGCTATTGCATTCCCAAGCTCAGAGGAATGTTTTCACAGCTAATTGTTAAAACTTAGTTTTGACTTGGGCTCAGAGAAGACTACTACGAAATACACTTGCCCTGGGTAACTTCAAACCCTATGCTAATATAGACTGGGGGCACAACAAAGATGCTGAAATAACTCTTTTAACTCCAGAAACAGAGCAAGAGAAACAGAATCAGGCACCATTTAAACATGGTACCAAGTGTCTTGGTGTTTCAAACTACTTTACTATTAAAAAAAAAACAAACCCAAAAATTTGTATAATGTATTTTCCCCTAGAAAAAGACAAGAGGGGAAAAAAAAAAACCTGGGACAGTTTTTCTAGGCTTCCTTTGCAAGGCCTGCCACTGAAGATTGCATTAATGATCTCTATTTTTGTATACTGAATAAGTCAAATCCATTTGTCACACTGCAAGTGATGGCATACTTAATTTGGATATAGTCAATTAGCCTGGGCTAAGCTCCATAGCCTGCTGCGCACACCTCTATTTCGTATTCTCTCTTTTTCCTTTGCCACACGTAATCCCATTATGACGGACAGACAAAGAGAAATAAACTTGAAAAAAAAAATCAAAGTTTCATCCATTGCTTTCCAAAATGCAACTAAGTGAAGCTGCTGGGTTTTGCTCGTTTTTTTTTTTCTACCCCATGAGAAGTCTCTGTTTGGCTTTTTTGGTGTCTTGCAGGTTAGCGGGAGAAATGTAACTCATGCATCAACTGTGGTTAGACAGATTTATGACACTTTGGGGACATGCTCTTTCCTCTCCCTGTGCTGCTGCAGACCGCTTACATTTTGCAAATCAGTCTGTTGCCAAGACGACGGGCTCCCCCACCTCCCTGGCTGCTCCTTGTTTTGTCATGTGCTCGGGGATGGATAATAGCATCAATGTATGGCGGCGTTGATGTACGGCAGCGTCAATGTACGGCACGCACGCGCACAGGGGGTTTGGGAGCTTGGAAAGCTTGAGCTAAACCAGAGGGAAAGAAAACCCAAAGGAGCCCAGGCATAGGATGGATGGATGGAAATGAAGGAACAAGCATGAGGCTATGGGCAGGGAGAACATAGGGAAATGCAAGAAGACAAATATCCCTCGGACAAAGTGAGAACAAAGACCTCGTTTGTACTTACTTCCCCCTGGCTTTGCCATTGGTTACCTAGGTGAAGGTTACATGTAGTGCCACTGCCCCTCCATGCCCATATTCATGCCCATTCCACTCATAGGTCCTAGAGGGAGATAAAAATCCAAGAAGACGCCAGAAAATGAGCAAAGTCAACAGATAGTGCCAAAAGCCCCTTTCCAAAACACAGCACGGCAGAGGGTCCAGGACTGCTTGAGCAAGGAGATGCCTGGTTTCCCTCGGTGGTGTGGAAGGCAGGCAGAAGACAGGTGAGGCAAGGCAGGCAGCTGGGAGGGTGGCAGAGGGCGGAGGTGTGCTTACCTGTGATGGGGTGACCAAGGCCACCCGTGGGTGGGCAATGCTGTGCTGGGGGCTTACCTGGCGCTCGGATGCCCATGTGCTGCTGGCCATCCATCACGAAACCTCCCATTGGCTGCCCGTCGGGGTTATAGGGTGTTCCTTGACTTACTGGAAAGGTGCAGAACATTCCTTTTAGCAACAGCCAGTCTGGTCACCTCTTCTCACAGTATCAAGACACAATCCCCCCACCCACGGGCTACTGATGCCAGCTCTAAAAAGAGGCGAAAACATCTACTGTGCGAATTTACCGGTTGGTCTAAAAAGTGTACTTAGTTTTGGCTTAATTTTCTTCTGCAAGTTTGGAAATGAAGTTAGCAAACTGAAATCTTGAGACACGAGGAGCCCCGGCTCCAGCTGCTGCCGCTGCTGACGTCAATGCAAAAACCTGTATAGGAGCCGGATTTTATGGCTGGAATAGTCACACTGAAATCTCAGTGTGTTAAATTACACCCTTGTGCCTTCAAAGGGCAGGACCTGAACACATCCATCCCTGATATTTACATCTAATGACAAATAATCAAATGTACTTGAAGAGGAAGTGTGACCCAAAGGCATCTTGGACTACGACAGATTTGGAGAGTTTGGCAGTGAGACTTGGAAAACAAAACCAACTGGGAGTAATGGGCTATGATAATCCTTGATGGTAAATACCCACAGAGAGCTGTGAGCCAAGATCCCAAATAGAACCAACATGTGGAAACTTTAGGTCTTTAAAAAAAAATAGAAATAAATATCCCCAAAGTAATCAGCAAATGCTCAGCAATCCCAAAAGAAGAACTAAGGGACAAAAGGACCCTATGCAAGAACCACTACCTGAACTGGAGGTTTTCACTGTACATTAAAAGCTGGCTTCAGAAGTAAGCTGGCTTGGGTTATTAAAGCACATAAAGCTCTACCTCATTGAATGTCTTTGAACTTTACTGAGTCCCACAAGTGATTCTGACCCCTTTGCCCTTTTGACAGGTAATAAAGTTTACAGCAATTCCACACCAAGCCATGCACCGGGGAGTGGTCACAGGAGCAGAAAGAGCTAGTATGAAAAGCTCCAAACAACTACTTTAAAAATACAAGAATAATTGGCATTGTGTACAGAAAGTCTGGCCATGCAATAGAACGTTTTAGTTTCCCTTTTTGAATTTTCAATGTCTTTTTTTCCCAAAATGATTAGAGTCATAATGACAGAAAGCTGGTTGTATTTTAACTGTCTGTCACTACCAGCATTCATTTCTCATTTATTTACCAGGTACTGGACCTCCTGGTGCATGGCTTGAGGATGGTTTTTGCCTGTGCGACTTAATACAGTTAATTTTGGGGACTTGCCTGCTCGATTGGACTGGTCTATCATGGGCTGAACTATTCTTCTTCTAGCATTAATAAACCTGCAAGGAAAAAAAAGGAAAGCAAATGGTTAGGGAAGGGATGTCTTCTACCCATCCCCAAGCCCTCTCGCCCTACTTGTGGTGCTTTCCATCAGGCTGCATGGGGATGCAAATACTGCTAAACCTCTAACCCTGATGACCTTTGAGAGCACAACCTTGGGGTTTCCAAGCTGATTTATGTTTGCCTGCTTTTTACCACAGTCGGACACTTCCATTTCATCTTTTCATGGGGGAATTAGCCGAGTTTTCAGGAAACAATGCCAGCAACGCTCTTCTCAATACAGAATGGGGCACCAAAAAAACAAAAACGTGTGAAGCTGGCAAGATACTCGTGAGGACATCTGCTACCTCCCCCCTCATTAGTGTCATTTCTGCCTTATGTCCTTTGACTTCTTTTTCCAATTTCTTTCTTTATCAAAACCTGTTCCTACCTCTTGCAAACCTAATTCCCTTTTAATGCCCACTATTAAGATAATGAACTGTGATGGCAGAACCCCATCAAATGAGGGAACGTCTGGACTTTTATCACCACTAAGTCACACTGCTGGGGACTTCAGAGCCATGCATTCCTCCTAGCCATTTCTTGGTGGGCTTTTTCCCCCCTCCCTCTCTTTATGCAAAGTCTGAGGGGGTCAAGGCGAGGTCATAGCTTTACAGTAATTGAATTTATAATCCTGTTTTCTCCAGCTAGGCCTGACCATTTACAGCAAACATCTTGTTAAACTGTAATTACTGAACTACTGAAAATTCCCCCCTGAACAATGAAAAGAAGACCTTTGGAAATAACAAAAAAAAAAAAAAAAAAGGAGATACAGGCATTTTTTTTAAATAGCTATCTGCAACCCAACTCTTTGTGTTTTTGTAGCTCTTCACCTCAGTTAGTACTGCAATGCTTATTTGGAAATACTCAAAATAATTTGGAGCAAAACAGAAGAAGAAGATAGATCACAAATACCCTGGTCTCTACATGGTGCTGAAATCAGGAGGCTGGGAACCAAGCCTGGGAACCTGTCTGAATGAAGACTATTTGAAGAATCTCTCCTGAGGTTTCACTCAGCAGAAAGTTTACTTAAAATCCATTTGGAAAAAATCTCCATTGAGACTTTGTCATGGCAAAGCTGCATAACCAGACTTTGCGCTCTTTGTGAAAAACAGAAAGAATAATAAAAATATGTATGCCACAATATTTACTAGCAAAGGAAGAAGTGTGAGTGTGGGCTAAATCACAGCACGCTTGTAAAATGGGATAGGAAAGTCCACAAAGGAATACTTGATGCTTGTTTTCACTGCCTTTGCTTGTGGTGTCTTAGCAGGAGCTCTCCTACCACAGAGATAAAGCCACCAGGATCTTTCCATGGGAATCAGCTCTGCCCACCCATTTGCCTACACAAGAGGGGAGAAGAATAGCAAACCACTGCCCCATGCTGTTTCTTTTGCCCTCATCAAAGACCAGCACAGTGACTTCAGACTCCTCCTATCTCCCACCCCACTGACACCCATTACCCAAACTCCTGCAAATTTTAATCAAGATGTTGAGTCTTTATCAAACTTGAGGAAATGGGCTCAAAGGCACCAAACCTGGGTGCCAGTCTGGAAACCTTACACCTGAACTAGGTCATGTTTTGTCAGCAGCAGTATTGGATCAATTTTTCTACACATTTCCAATAAACACCCTGTCTCGACTCCAGCAAACAGTGTTGCAAATCAGTTTATCATTATCTTGTACAAACCATGAAAATTAGAATCATGTGAGCAGAAGGTTAGACTAATTCTCCTTTCTCATTATAAGCACAGGTGTAGCACAAACACCATGTGAAATAAGCAATTAAAAAAAACCTGCTTTTTTCCCCCCATTATCTGCCTTAGCTCCATGACCAATTAGAAAATTGTTTAATATCTGTAATCTGCATTTGCAGAAAGCAATTTTCACAGTAACTCTTCGAAGTAAAACAACACCACAAAACCCTAGTGCCACAGCCATTTATTTTTGTGAGTCTGGCAAGGCTCTTGCTGTGTTTACTCCATCCTTCTCCTGTCTCACTGCTAGGAGCTGGTAGTGTGGCAGGAGGAGAGGAGTAGCTGTGAGAGTGACTGGTCACCGAAATAACTTTTACTCCAAATAAATGTTGAGCAACATTAGGCATGTACAACCTCAACTTCACGACGTTTTCTTCTGTCTCCTCCAAACTACAAGCACTTTTAAGATGGAGGGGGTTGTGCCCCAAAATAATAAATTGTACTATATATAGTATCGTTTATATACTAATATACTAGAATAAACTACATATCTGGAGTTTGCCAATAATTACCCACAAGACATGCCTATGGTAAAACATAATCTGACCAGTTTGCCCCACACTATCTTTTGGGATATCTGTTTTAAGAACATTTTACATACAGGTACTTAACAGTTATCTTCTTCTTATGCATTCATGTAAGTATTTTCTATAAGTAGCAATTCTGCCAAACAGCTCAGTGTTTGGATGTCTTTGGGGGGAATTCAGACACAAGAACATTTTCCTTCTGGGCAAAGTAATAAAATTACATTCTTGCTCCTCCCACTAGAAGTCAAATGGAGGTCAGCTCCCCATCCTTGTATCTGTTTAAATAAACTGGTCCAGCTGTTTGTTTCCAGGATGCCCTTTAACCTTCTGTCCCATCCTCCCTGCCTTTGTAATACAACGCTTTACTTTGCATTATAGTAGACTCCAAACCACTACACATTCAAAAAAAAAAAAAAAAGGAGAAAAAGGAAAAAAAAAAAAGAAGAAAGTATTCACTTTCAAGTTTCTTCCTGCATCCCAAACCTGGAATTTGTAAGAATCTATCAGATTAAAACAATTAGCATAGCTTGTTTTGAGAGAGCACAATGCAGGCTGTGATGTTTATAAATCGCATTTGAGAACTCTTTGCAAGCAAAACTGCGAATTAGCTGTTGCTGCAGAAATATATGGGCATGTGGTTAATTTCTTCATGCTCTCAATTTTTTTTTTTCTTTGAGAGAAGGGCCAGGATTTTTTGATCACTCTTTGAATTTCCAAAGTGCCAGGGTGATGTGAACACCAGCAAAAACGATGCAACAGAAAAGCTAACAGGAATATTCTCCCTTCCCCTTTTCCCAAATGCTCATATTCATCTATTAAGAGAAAGAAACTCTAAATCACTCTAATCTTTAAAAATTCAGAGAAGTCAGGACCTAAAAAAAGGTATTTGCATACTAACTGCTACTGAAATGGAGTATTACCAAAATACAATTTAGCATAAAACTTAAGACAGATGTATAGCCTTACTCATGTGAGTAAAGACCCAGTTGGGCTCAAAGGCTTGAATGAAGCATTTTTCCCCACACCAGTGCTCTGTGTTATCTTTGCTCTGATGAGGAAGGGATTATTTTGGTTTCAGTTTTTTGCCTCAAAAGAGTTGGATCAATAGTGGCACAACAACATAATATCCCTCTGTACAAGTTGCACTCAGCAAAGTGATGCCTTGGGCTGCCTTTTTTTTTCCCTTCCTCTTTTTTTTTTTTTTTTTTTTTGGTTTCGTTTTGTTCTGTTTGTTCTGTTTTGTAAGGGGAACGATCAGGCATGGAAAAAACATTTGAACAGTTGGGCAAACACAGAAGTTTGAAGTATTCCCTAATTTTTTCAAGTTGTTCTTCTCAGACAAATGGGATTACACTTTCTGCCATGTCCCAAAAAGCAAGAAGAACCCAGCAATTCCACCTGCATGATCCTAAAGAGGAGGAGGAAGCCCTCTTTTCTCCCATTTGCATTTAACTAGGATGTTTTCTCTTAGGCTTCTTGCCTGGAGTCTCTTTCCAGAGGTCATGGGCAGACTCCCTGGCTGGTGCATCGCTGGTCCCACGGGTGAGCTCCAGCCCCAGCCCCGGGGATGCAGCAATCTGCCTCTGCACTCTGACCTTCAGCTTGGCTGCCCTCGCTGCCACGCACAAGTTTTGTTTCTTCTCAGCAAGAGGCTGCATGGCTGGCGATGACAAAAGACTTATTTTAGTTGGAAATTGCCTACAATAATAGCAGCCAGAGACAAGGATTTTCAGAGGGTCACCAAACCCTCCGAAAGGCACAGCTCGCTAAGGCTCAGGTTACAGCCCAAGTGACATTTTCCGCACAGATCTGTTCTTTCTCCTTTCCCCTTGTATTTCACTTCTGTTGAGTGAATAAAACAAGACCTTCCTCTGCTGTCACGAATTTCCAAAGTCACATTTGCTCAAGAATCGACAGAGCGATTGTGGGGACTTCCAATTTGCAGTCTTTGAATGAAATTTTCCAGGACCAGCTGTCTGAAAGGAGATGCTGAGACTTTGTGGTCTATTGAATTTTTCTCTGCCCCCAGCCCTCCGAAATGAGGAGAGTTTCACACCATTACTGACTTCTGCTACTTGGAGTCACAGGCTGCTCCCTCTCAATATTGTCCCAAAGCGCTGCATGCCAGAAGTCTATGTTTCACTAGCAGAGCCAAGAAATTCCCGAAAATCTCTGCCTCATTTTCTTCTTGAGCTCCTTCTAGCAAACCAGGTGTAAGAAGAATGTGAAAGCCCACATTACCTACAAACCCCAGTGCTAAATCTCATACCTCTCTGAAGAAAAACAGTATCCCTCTTGACAACAAACAAATCATCATTTTTATAGCAGATGCCAAAGTAAACGTAGCACTTCAAATTGGCAAATAATTCACTTGTAAAACCAGTTGCACTCTTTTCTGCATAGTGGGATCCCTCATTTATACAGCGGCAAAACAACATTCTCTATTCAGCACTTAATTCCTCAACGCTTAGCAGGTTTATCTCTAATAAAACCAATTTAAATGGAAAGTGTGCTATAAACCAAGATTATTGCACTTCAGTAACCACTTTATTCCTTATTTTAACATATTTTATTTTTTTCTCTGTGTTTGTTTTCCAGAGATTTTTAAGAGTCAGTTAAAGAAAAAAAAAATACCAACACAGAAATTATTTCACCGAATACTTTCAAATGTTTTAA